TGTAACGGTGCAACAAAGGGTTAAAACTGCATTTTGCATCTAGAACCAGAAAAATTGCCAAGAACTTCTTTGTCACACAAACCAAAAAGAAACAGTAAAATTGTACACTAACGCAATACAGGATTAAAATAGTATCTTACATTTGGTACCAAAAAAATTCCCAAGCATCCTTCTTCCCACAAACCAAAAACAAAAGAAGCTCAAAAAACAATAAAATTGTACACCAATGCAATAGAGGGCCAAAACAGTATTTTGCATTTGGTACCACAAAAAGTTCCCAAGCACTCCTTCATCCCACAAACCAAAAAAAGGAAGCAACTAAAAACTCCAATTTAAAAAAACGAAACCTCAACTACATTTTGCACCTGGGACCACAAAAGTTCCCAAGCACTCCTTCACCCCACAAACCAAAAAGGAGCAACAACCGAAAACTGCAATTGAAAAGAAAAAAAGCTTGCATCTAGAACCAAAAAAATTTCCAAAGCATCCATCTTCTCACAAACGAAAAAAAGGAAGCAACAATCGAAGAAACAATGAAACATCACCACCAACCTGAAGTCGTTGTCTAAGCGTAGGCCTCAGTTCAGCCCTCATCCTCTCGAACCGGAAGACCCAGGCCACCCCGATCACAGCGTCACCGAACAGCAAAGCCAACAGCAGTACCCAATACGCGTTCAACAATCTAGCGCTCAATCTTCTCGCCGCTATGCAACCCAACAACTGCACCAACCCCAGTTGCGTAGCCAACGCCAGATACGCGTACAAGGCTGTCGGATCGAATGCGCGCGGTATACCTGGCACCAGGTATCTACGTGGATCACCGGTGAACAGTAATGTTCGCGAGACCGCGGCCGCGAAACCTAACGCGCTACCAAGCAGCACCAAATTACAGGTGTAGATCCAGAGCCGGTAATATCGCATCGCGACGTCCTGGCCACAGTCGGCGGCGCGTCTTTGGGACGTCACCGACGCCGCCGCCTCGTCGACGACGTACGACGCGTTACTCTCTCTTCTAGTCACTCCTTTCAGTATATTATTGTTATTATTATTGTTGTTGTTGTTAATAATAATATTGTTGTTGTTAGTGGTGGTTGTGATAGTTGTGTCGGTGGAGTGTCGATGCTCCTGACGATCGTCGAGGAGGAATAGAAATGGTGGCTTCGAGCTGAAGTCCTTGTTCGCTGTCTTTTGGCTCTGCGTCGACTGCGGGGTGACTGAACGTTGCAGCAGCATCACCGTCATTACTATCGTGCCTCCCTGGTACGCGTGTCCTTGTCGTTAAGGATTATACCCCGGGTAGAATGGAAGCAGAAGGTGTTTCTTGTGTGTACGTACGTGTGTAGATTTGTATTTCGGTTGGATAAAGAGTGTTGGCGTGTGTGTGTGTGTATGTGGTAGCCTCAGAGGAGAAATGTGTTGTGCACCGAGAGAAACGGCGTGTGTCACGCGAGCCACATTATACGCCCTGACAGCGACAGCCTGTTCCTCATTGCGCCTCCTAAGTTAGCTTCTTTTCTTTATAGTCTCTCCGCCGCACACTATCGAGATGATTCCTCTCTTCTGTGGGTGGAGTGTCTTTTTCTCTTCTCTCGGTCTTCGGTTCTTCTCGCTCGGATTGGAGAAGACGTCGACTGGGTCGAGTGGTTCCTGTGTAGAAGGAGAAATCGGTTGTTAGAGATGGGTCTTTGCTTGATGATATTTTTGTTTTAACGGGGTTACGGATGGTTGGAGGTATAAATGTGCAATGCTTAGTGAGTCGAAGGCGTTTGGAAGCGTTGAGACACTTGGTATGTTTGTGCAGAAAGAATTTTCTGATTTAAAGTACATTTCTTCGTAAGATTTAGTAATCGAGAAGCTAAAGTGACTAACTTCGTCAAATTAAATTTTGTTTACTTTAGTTATAAAGAGTCGAGCGTTAATTACGTGCTTCGACACTAAAATTGGACGAATTTGAAAAAGAGGAGCTGATCGTTTTGCCTTCCGAGTGGCTCAGTCCCAAAATTCCAGTCTGAATCGTTCCTCCTTGGATCTCAACGATTTTTCAACAGCTATTCAACTTTGCCTCACATTCAGAAGGTGTCCTAACACTTCTGAACGAGAGTACAGCTATCGAGTGTCGCAGGATTAATTGTTCAAAAGAAGACGCGAGAAAATTGGAGTATGACGAGCAACTTAACGTTGCATTGCTGTAAAAAAGGAGAACATTGTTCCTAGAGAAGTTGCCTGGAACTGCGAAGAACTTACCCGAGGAGCTTACAATTCGTCCATTCTATTTGTTCAAACTACTGTAGCAAAGATTGTAAATTGACGGAGAGATTCTGTTCTAAGATTTGGAATCGATAGGGAATCTAGGTAGATCCGGAGGATGGACGTGGTTACACGCTCGATAGTTTACAGCGTGCAGTATGTGTTCACTGGGTTAGGGGATTCTGTTGCCTCAGCGTTAATAGATTGATTAGGACCGGTTTGATTAGGGATTACTACATCCTGCCTCGACTATTGTCCGTCTGACTAATACCGTCTGTCGTTACTGAATCACTTTGGCGAAGGGTTCCTTGTGAGCGTTTTCTCCTGATTAGTATATTAGATCATCGCGTGAGTTCGTGACGAATTTTCTAATTCAACGTCCCCAACGAATCTTCAACCCTTTCGCTACGGCAGACTTCGGTACTTACTTTGATTCGGCGTTTAAAAATCTTGAAAAATGTGAGAATTTAAATTTATATATTTAACCCTTTCGCTAAGGCAGATTTTAATGCGTAATGTGGGTGAGTGGCGGTAATTTTTTAATTTCTTACTTTGGGCGTGCCGTTTTAAAATTTCGTTGATTAAATTAAGGTGGACGGCTTTAACAGTATGAAAAAGAATAAGTGACTCCTTATTTTGCAACTCTTTTCTATTTTTTTTTTTATTTTTCTGGTAAGATCGTTACGTCGTCGTTGTAGTATCTCCTTGGATTTTCGTTGAAATATCTTTTGCTTTCGGCGCGAAGCTGTGGGATGACATAATATTAACCCTTTGCACTCCGAGCATTTTTTGATAAGATTAATAGTGAAACTTCTGGAAAGCCAAAGTTTTGTCTTGAGAAAGAAAAAAGGATTTTTAGTGTTTACGAATTTATTTATTTGTAGTTCTTGTGTTAATTTGCATTATTTTGATAATATAAAAAAACGTCTGAATTGTTCATTTCTCCGAAGTAATTACGCGTGTCGCCATAAAAGCGCCATTGGAGTACAAAGGGTTAAGATTAAGACAGCCAGAGTTGAATATAAAATATTCTTTCTATTCCGATATGTTTAATGGAGAATTAATGGAAAACAAATTGAGGTATAGTTACTTCTTTATTTCAACAGAAGTCTCCGGACACTTGGAAAAAGCATTTTAACTTTCGGATGGCGGAAACTTAAACTTCTCTCGTTTCAACTGACATTCTCCTCTCCTTACTTTATCGACATATTTCTTATCTTAATCACAATGTATTTGTACAGTTTTACACAATACAATATGAACATAAAATGAAAAAACTGTGCTTTCGCTCGCGTACGAAGAAGATTTTAGTCTCGGGTCACATTTCACCCGCCATCCGCAGTTAATAACTTCTCCAACCTAAGTCTGCCTTCTTAATTGACCGACCAATTAAAAACTGATTAGTCGAATCATTGATCCGGAACGTGAACATAGGTACTTATAGGAGTGAACACCCTGACGCACACCATTATCAGTTGCGTCTCCAGACCCTGACGAAACGTCGGAATATAATTTCTTTTGGACACGGCTTACACCCGAAAGCCTGAAATAATACCAAAATCACCTCTCCACTGATTTTACCCAAACACCGAAGAAACTAACAAACAACTCCAATCTTCTGTCCTGAAAAATACCACATTTCCGTTAACTTCGCCATCAGAAAAACGACAGTCAGCTAAAGACTATTAAAGATTCTTTCTGTCGTTGCGAAATTAACGGGCGCTCGTTAGCCATCTCTCGATTCGAGGGTAAACGATCGAAAACAGGCAAATAGTTCCCAGCCCTTTGTTTCCCGCGTAAAAGACAATACGCTCCCCTGCACCAGAAAGAAAGAGAGAGAGATTCGTGTCAACGATGTAAAGCAATAAAGTTGGCCCGATAGGGGAACGATTTATCTCGTGCGGAATATCGGACGCTCGAACGTCACGGTTTCCCCCGGCATTCCGAGGCGGAGGAACGTCGAAAATTGATAAAAACATCGTGGCTAGGAAGTGTGCATCAATAAAGTCGCTGGTGAAAAAGGGGAGGCAATAAAGTTCGTCGATATAAAGCGTTGGCCGGTATTAGAGCCACGAAATGAAGGAATTAATTCTGAAATTGTCCAGGCAGTCGTCTCTGACGATGTAGGCCAACGATGCCACACGTACCTTTCTCCAAGATTCGTTACCTGTTTCTTCTTTTTTTAAGGAAGTCCGTGGAAAATTTGTAAATACAAGTTAGGAACCTAGGGACAATTTTGAGGGACCCAACGGGAATTGAACCCGGGACCTTCGGCTTAGCGCGCTACGCCAACCACTCCCTCTCTATTCTCCCGTGCTGGTTTCCTATTTTTTGGGTATGAAGGCCCCGATACTACACTCGGCCATCCTGAACTAACATTCGCCCTCGAATGTCCTCGGTGCAACACAACTCAACTCAACACTTTCGGGTACACTCCCTCCACAGTGGCACTCTCGGCCGAAACTCTGTTTCTCAACTCTTTTTGGGAGACATGTTTTCCTCTCACATGTTTTCATCTCACAGCGCCTGGCTTCGTGCAGCCGTAGATGCCTCCATCCCGGACGAGTCTCCATTTGTAGGAACCTAGGGAAAAATATTGAGGGACTCAACGGGAATCGAACCCGGCGCTACGCCAACCACTCTCTCCCTATTCTCCCTTCGAGGTTTCCTATTTGGGTATGGAGGCCCCGATACTACACAAGTGAAACGAAGTATGAGAGGGAGAGAGCGGTAGTGATAATAATTGAGAAGAGGGAATTGTGGTACAGTTGTACTAAATTTAACCCTTTTGCACTCGAAGTAGTGCTTCAAGCATGGACAATGTTTGACGTTGTAGTCAAAGTGAGCCTCTCAGACACACCAGAAATAAAAAGTTGTCTTTTGGATGTTGCTTGGGATTTTTGTTTTTTGGGATGAATTGTTTATTGTTGGGTGTGGAAATGAATTTTTTGTGACTTTTTAGTGGAATCGTGGTTTCATTTGGAAAGAATCAAAAGAGATCAGTTGTCGATGACTTTTTGACATTTTTCTGCTAGCTTGTGAATGCTGTCTTTGGCTTTGAATCTATTATGTGAAGACAGGCGGAAGGAAGTCATATCTGTGCTTAATACATGTATGTTATAAGCTGAAAAAAGTTGTCAGATTTATTTGTGAAAATGTCCAAAGAAAAAGTACAAAGGGTTAAAGAAAATCTACTATAGAATCCCAATAAACTGTATAAAGTGAAATAAAAATTTCTTCTGTCTTTTTCAACATTATCGCCTCGAAAGGTTTCTCCCCTTCAATTTCACGAAGAAAATCGAACTTTTCACTCTTATTCACAATATTTCCTCTCGAATACATAATTAATAACGCACATGCGTAACAAAATAAAGAAAAGTTCGACTTGCTGCAAGACTTCCCCAAGAAAAAGTCCAAAGAAAAACGTCAAAGGGTTGATAAAAATCTACTAAAGAATCACAATGGAGATAAAAATCACTTCTTCTGTCTTTTTCAACATTAACGCCTCGAAAGGTTTCTCTCCAGTCAGTTTCACGAAGAAAATCGAACTTTCAACTCTAACTTACAACATTTCCTTTCGAATAAATAATTAATTACACATGCAAGACTTCCCCGAAGAAAAAGTCCCACGAAAAACTGCAAAGGATAAAAGAAAATCTACTATAGAATCTCGATAAACTGTACAAACTGCAATAAACATCGTTTCCTCGGTGTTTTGCAACATGTACGCCACGAAAGGGTTCTCTCCAGTCAATTTCACGAAGGACACCCGTTATCTGATGCACAGAGAGCGTGAAAGAGATACGCGGGGAGTAATTATTAGCCAGCATCGTGATAGATCACGTTAGTGCGACTATGTACACTGTGAAACATCGTGAACAGGTCACTAGCGTGTGCTTGGCTAAATTGTATTTCTTTCTGACAGTTCTAGCGTGCAATAGGCAATTCTATTATCGATCCCTGTTGGCCAGCCAGTCGGTGTTGCGCCGCGGTGGCCGAGGAGCAGAGAGACGGCCGCGAAAGGCGATGGAAATACGAGAAGGAATCAACATTACTGCATGAATTATTGTAATCACGCTTGAAACATACGCTGGAACAACTGAGAAACGATCAGAATCTTTATTCTCGTTGAAATCTTGCCGAGTTACGCTCAAAAATCGCGGAGATTACGATAAAGGTACGAGAGATAAAATGATTGTGTTATGCAACACGTAATTAGGTCGCTATTTCAATTTTTTTTTAGTTATACTCTCTTCAAACGACTTGCACCAGTTCACGATCAAGAAAACTGTTTTTATTGCTTCGAATTTTGTGAGTAACCGAGGCTAACTTATTTGATTATTAAAAAATCGC